AGCTTCAAAATCCTCATCTTTAAAATTCGAAGAAGTGTCAACAGTTTTGTCATTGAATCCTCCAGGAGGTATTCCTTCTTCTACCTCGGCTGGGTCTATATCTTCAGAGAATTTATCTACTCGCGGATCATTATTCTTATTAGGACTTTGATTAGGTGAACTTCTGACGTCATCATCACCATGACCTTCGCCATCCAAATCATCATTATCTCTATCACTGTCTGAATCTGACCAATGCTTCTTCATTCTACTTTTAAAATAATCCATATCTGAGACGACTGCTTCATTAATTATACTCGGCTTTTCAGAGGCACTTTCCTTTAACTCAACATCCAGAGCAACTGGCTTTTCTTTGTTGCCTTTCTCCTTTTGACTTGGCTTTTTGCCAACTTTGCCACTTTGGTCAGCTGCTGCGGCAATAAGAGAGTCATCTGCCCACAATTTTGACTTAGCACGTGGTTTCATGACCTCAAGAAATTCCCTTAGTTGCAGATCATAATTATCGTTGCCTTCCTTATCATGGTTTGCATCCACTGTGGAACCCTTAACCTTCGAACTAACAGCACCTGGAACTTTGTTCTCCTCTGCAGTTACTTCTCCATCTTTCTTCAATGAATGACGACTCCATGGACGAGGAATGTTTGGATCCCCATGTATTCGGGCAATCTGAAACAAAGAAAATGAATGATTTGTTCTTTAAATCAGAAAGTATTCAGCATATGATGACCAAGTAAATACTAGTCACTTTGGGGGACCCAATATAATGTGAAGGGCAAAAAAGAAAATGAGGACTTTGATTTCTTTGTTTCTTTCAGCTGATCATTCACCTAAAGCCCCGAAGCCTCCTGAGATAAACAAACAGTCCTTGAGCATGCTAGCCCCATCAACAGGGCGCCATGATTAGCCCAGTTATCCATTGCCATTCAACAGTCACTCACAAAAACATGATATCTTTTTTTTTGGTAATTCCAGAAAGGTGATGATTCAGATCACTATGTTCTAATAATAACAGGTCATTCAGACTATACATGAGAATATGAGGTTCCCATAGAAAAGGAACTTTCAGTCACACTTGAGAATAAGAAGTAAGTCGAGGATACAAACCTCACATTCAATTCTTGATGTGCCGAGGAAAGACCTATTGAAGTGTCTTATAGCTTCTTCAGCTTCAGATTCTGTGCGGAACCCAATAAAAGCAAATTGCCTGCTCTTACCATCTCTGCAAAAAAAGATGACAGAGGAAGAATCATAACAAATATTATATTTCATGATAAAAGAAAATGCTAATCTTGTCAAGAGCAAACAATCACCATTGTTATTCTTGTCAAGAATCAACAATCACCATTATTATTATAATTAACAATTAAGTAGTACTTGGTCCGCATTAGCTTGGCATCTGTTACGTCTCCTTTTAGAGAAAAATGCTCTCGCAATTGATCTTCCGTCACATATTTTGCCAAGTTCTTCACGCATATTCGAGACCTATACATGGCAAGCAAAGATACAAGCACATGAGAAGAGTAAAAGAATACATTATATTTAACACACATTATGAGCATCCTGGCACAATGTTATCAAAACATAATGCTAGCAAAACCATACTGTCAACAGGATTAGTTGTTTGCTTAGGTTTGACAAAATTAAACATGACCATCATTATACATACAATTTTAACAACACAATCACGACCATGTTTCCAACTGTAACCCGGTTGTCTGTGTTCAGTGATCCTCCTGGTTTTCAGAAATCTGAACTGTCAATCTCCTTAGGGATACCATAAAGACAATCACTCAATAGATGCTAACAAAGACAATAACCATTCAACCGAACGAATTCCGGCCTTTAACAGAGCAGTTGGCTCATTTCGATATGCCAAACTAGCTTACACCCATCATCAGCAGAGTAGCTGAACTAGCCATTGCCACACTAACTAACTGGCTAGTGCCATCATCACTCTGCCACCCCAGTCGAAATAGTATGTCCATTATATAAATGTCGCATCTTTTCCAAATACAGTGGCAAGGTCTTTTAATTGCAAACGCCAAATTAGTTCCAACTGACATATCATCGTCATTCAACTAAGCTCGCTGTTCAGAGAAAGGAAACTGCAATGGTTGATAATTGAACAAATAGAAGTGATATTCAGAAGACTAAGTGGCGCGACCAGTGAATAGAAGCAACCGAGTAGAAGAGGTAGCTACTGCAGGGAGTAGGGATACAACGGGCTAGAAGGGAAGGGATGAACTTTCAGAGAGTTGCACAGAATGATAGTAGTACTTACATGATTCCCCTTGATCGAAGGCGATAAACGATTCTACAGCCTTTCTTTCCTTCTCTCACCTATTTCAAGTCCAAAAGAATAAGGCGGCGCTGCTGGTCCTGGACGGAGAAAAAGAAACGGGGGCGGGGGAGGAACGGCGCGGCGGTGGTTGGTTTCGCGGAAGAGGTTACAGGCGGTGGTTTTATTTTGTTTGAACTTCAAAGCCAAACCGGGTTTAAACTTTTACACTATGTTTTTTTAGAGCGGAAAAGAGGGGGAAGGAAAGAATAGGAAGGAAAGTGCAATTTTCGATAAACTTTCCCCTGTTTCCGAAGGTGAGCACAGTAATCGGGTGAAGGAAAAGGGGGGAAAGTTTCACTGTGGAACCCTCTCCCCCAAATCGGAGAGAAAACGCTCCACTAACTCTTTCTTTTTCATCTTTTTATTTGCTAGGTTAATTAATCGTTCACTTTTCCTTTTTTATTCGCTACCCCTCTCCTCTCTCCTTGCTTTTTCTTCTTCTTATTCGTTCTCCTCCAAATGTGAACCCAAACTAGAAACAAAGATAGACAAACTGGAAGTCAGCTTGGCAGATTTGCTCCGTCGGAAAAGTCTCGGTCGGATTGCAGCTGCCGACCAGGGGAGCGTTGTTGTCGGCGCCGACGTGAGCACACAAAGGCGGAAGGGGGATTTAGAAATAGGGAGATTATAATTGTAGGCCGGAGAATCGTAGTTGGAATCGGGCGAGCACGATTGGGATCAGGTCGGGGCGGGCTGGGCGTTCGGGGTGAAGAATCCGACCTGGCAAACTCTGGGAACTGGGAGTTGCTGGCCGGAGAATCGGAGGGCGGCTGAGAGCTGGAAGGCAGCAGCGCCACCATTAACCTACAATTAACCTCACCGTCGGCTAACCGGGGGAACGAGAGTCTGCGCTAGAGGGGGATTGACATTTTTTCTTTTCTTTTCAAGAATGCTGGCCAAAAGTGATACAGGGGAAAGAGATCCAGCGGGATGGGGAAAATATATTCAATTTGCTTTTGTACTAACAGCTATTATTATCTTCTAGCCCGTTGTATCCCTACTCCCTGCAGTAGCTACACTATCAACGCTCTCAATTAAATCTATTACATGTTATTAGTGCCTGGGTTAGAGATAATAATAGCTGTCAGTACAAAAGCAAATTGAATATATTTTCCCCATCCCGCTGGATCTCTTTCCCCTGTATCACTTTTGGCCAGCATTCTTGAAAAGAAAAGAAAAAATGTCAATCCCCCTCTAGCGCAGACTCTCGTTCCCCCGGTTAGGCGACGGTGAGGTTAATTGTAGGTTAATGGTGGCGCTGCTGCCTTCCAGCTCTCAGCCGCCCTCCGATTCTCCGGCCAGCAACTCCCAGTTCCCAGAGTTTGCCAGGTCGGATTCTTCACCCTGAACGCCCAGCCCGCCCCGACCTGATCCCAATCGTGCTCGCCCGATTCCAACTACGATTCTCCGGCCTACAATTATAATCTCCCTGTTTCTAAATCCCCCTTCCGCCTTTGTGTGCTCACGCCGGCGCCGACAACAACGCTCCCCTGGTCGGCAGCTGCAATCCGACCGAGACTTTTCCGACGGAGCAAATCTGCCAAGCTGACTTCCAGTTTGTCTATCTTTGTTTCTAGTTTGGGTTCACATTTGGAGGAGAACGAAGAAGAAGAAGAAGAAAAAGCAAGGAGAGAGGAGAGGGGTAGCGAATAAAAAAGGGAAAGTGAACGATTAATTAACCTGGCAAATAAAAAGATGAAAAAGAAAGAGTTAGTGGAGCGTTTTCTCTCCGATTTGGGGGAGAGGGTTCCACAATGAAACTTTCCCCACTTTTCCTTCACCCGATTACTGTGCTCACCTTCGGAAACAGGAGAAAGTTTATCGAAAATTACACTTTCCTTCCTATTCTTTCCTTCCCCCTGTTTTCCGCTCTAAAAAAATGTTGGGGAAAATTGTTCACGTATACTATTTTCTTGCAACACAAGCAAACACATAAGATTAAGAAAAACATGCAAAGACACATGCAAGCGTCCTAGCCGATAGAATTCACTATCTCTCCTTAAAGAATCTTATTCCCCTCAAGTACCCAAGGTTGTGGAATGATTCCTCCCAGGATAGAAAGGACGTACCTTTTCCGGCGTAGCGGTACCTCAAACCCCGGAAACACCATCGAACGCAGCGAAACGGCGAGAACCACACTTGACTCTATTTCTCTTTGAAAAGAATGCAGAAAAACTAGTTTTGGATTTTGGCAGAATTTCAGTACCGGGAAAAATCCATGTAAAACTCGTTGTTAAAACAAGAGGGGGTATGGTGCTATTTATAGAGAATGAAGGGATGCATTGAAGGGAGGCAACTCTTCATATGGGTGGTTACACCCCAACCATTGCATTGGTTCGTTTAAAATATTTCAACCATTGCATTGGTTCGGCCTCATGGAAGTTGGACCGGTTTGGTTATTCCAACCGCCACATCGGTTCGGTTCGATTTGGTTCAACTCGGTTTGGTTCATTTGGTTACACAAACCAATTTAACCAATTAACCACATATTACATCAAATCGATCGAATTCGAGGCCATGCCTTCTCACATCTTACCAACATGGTACTTCAAGAGACTCTCTTGAAACTTTCCCCTTTTATTTCCATTCACACCACTAAAAATCCCAACAAAAAACATGTGTAAAGCGAGCGCCATTCGGGTTTCCCTTACCCGGATCTAATAGGTTTTTTACTTTTTTTTAAGGCAGCGAAGAGCTTACATATTGGGCCCAATTTACCTCTTCTTTCCCTTCGCGCGCTGCCTCGCACGCCGTCAGCCGCCGTCAGCCAAGTCACCGTCGAATTGTCCCATACCCTTCGAATTCTCGGTCGTCTACCGATTTAGGCTCCTCTTTCTTCCGCCCATTTGCCCACCGGTTAAAGAACCTGGTGTCTTCCTCCTCTCGGTAAGTCTCGCTCTCCAGAAATTTTGGCTTCCTTCAGTGTATTCATACATCGGTCCACCCAATTCATCATCGTCAATGGCGAAAGGGAGGACCGGGAATGCCCTGTTTTTTGTTGGCCGCTTAAAGCATCCAATGAATCGAATTTTCCCTCCAATCTTCAACGATAGACTCTACTGCTTCGTTCCTATTTCTCTTTTAAATTGTTTACGATTAGGGATTCATCTTTCTTTAGCTAGGTTATTGGTTGCGATTAGGAATCTCATGTTCTTATGAGCTATTGGTCGCATCCCACGTTCTAGTTACTGATTCTAGGGAGTGTCGATTGTTTGCCCTGTTGCAGCTTCCGGTGTCAACAATGATAGATGCGTTTACAGCTGAATGCTCTGTTGCAGCTTATGTGTGAAATTATACCTAACCTATCTTTGTCCCTCTCGTCGCTGTTGGTAGACATTGAATTACAATACTTCTTAAGAGTTTGTGATTTCAGGGGGTTTTGCATGTAAGTTGTACGAGCTAGTAGTAGTAGATTTACTGTGGATCCCCATACCAAACCCCAAATATATGAACGTAGATGTATATGGTTTATGCTTTTGTTCTGGAGGAGAATGGGAGCTTCATTGGTTTGATTATATTGGCATGTACGTGGTTCATACAGTTTTTAGTTTTACTCGTGAGTTTCTAGATTTTCATGGACAGTTGAATAAGAAGCACATGCCTTCTCTTGGAGGGGTTCATTCCGAATTTTTCTGCAATAAGCTTTTAACAACACTCTCTCGATCCCCTATCTTCCAGGTTGTTGTGGAGAATCAGGGAATTCGTGAGTTCCATCGATGGATGACCTATATGAAGTCATAGGGAATAACAGGATTGAAGATGTGAGTTGGATATGTTCCCTCTCCGAGTCTGAGCTTGTAAGTGCATCCCTTCATGTTCGAGCTGTATAGAGACTGAAACTTAATTTGTTGCTTTCTCTTTTCGGTTACTGGATCCATTCAATTTGCGGATTTAATCTAGCATACACATGACTGAAAGAACCAGCTAATAGGATGGTCTTGCCACTGGTAGGATCTTCTAATCAGCTTGAAAAAGCTGGTGATTCTGCGGGCAAAGGCTATTGGTCATGTGGAACTGGCAGAGAAATTTGACTTGAAGATGCTCCGAGCAATCGGTATTTTCTTTCTTCCCCCTTCTTTCTGTCTACTACATCTCTCTGTCTTGCTATCTTAAAGTTTACCTTTTTGGTTCCTTGCATGGTTATGCAGTTGAGATAACAAACCAAAACAAATGGTATGCATGTTTCATAACTTTAATTCTCCTCTCAGTACTATATGTATGAGTTTGTGTCTAAATCCAACAAGTATCTGGAGGAGAGAAAACTTTGGCTTCCCTGGTTGCTGGGAGTGATGATAATAGGACAGTTTGCTATTCTTGTAGCTGTGTTATTCTTATCGAGAGTACTGGTCGATCTTATTGATGAGAGTGCATTTCAGGCCTGGCCTTTATTTCCCTATTTACTCATTCCCAGTTGCACTTGACACAGGGTTCGTCGTAATGGAACATTTCAGACAAAAGGTCAAAGACTTACCACCAGTACCGGGCATGGACGAGACTAGTGCATACTTAGATGGTTGCAACTTACTAAAATCTAAGCTTGGCGACAACTTGAGCATTGAAGAGATGAAGTCATGTCTTGGTATGAAGAGTGAAAAAGACTATTTCAAAAGGTAGGTTAATTATGCAAGTTTTGCAACTTCAATTAGGATGGACAATGTTCCGCAAGAATGCTGCAGCATAAGTTAAGCATGCTTGGTCAGCTAGAAAATGGTAGGACAAAAGCTTTTTGCTTCTTAAGAAAACCCAGTTAACGTCTTGCTGACCATAGACATGACTTGTAGGTGCTGAAGAAAACCTTGTTTAGCTTGTTATCAGACCCTTGAAAATTATAGACCAGAGAGAAGCCTTCCATGCTTACATCTTCTTTCTTTGCCTTTTGCAGACCACAGGACGGGCCAAAAGTACGAACGCAGAGCCGGAGATAGTCAGATTGTCGGGACATAATTGACGATGCTCGATGTTATTTTTGCTATCAACAACTTTCAGTTATGCGTCAGAGTTGCACTGTGAACTCTTATCGTACGAAAAAAGGAAGTTCCGAGTTCATGAAGTCTGTAAATTGATTGGATGTCAAGCCATCAGCTTTACCACTTGGTTTGGTCAAAAAAAAAAAAAAAAAAAAAAAAAGCTTTACCACTTGGCGTGAATAAAGAGTAATTACAAAGATCAATTCCGGGGCAAATTAACAGATTTCATTCATTGATTCAAACATCCTTAACAACGAGGTCCCCATTGATGAACTCTCTGTAAGCAGCAACAGGCCAAGAGAATCCCCTGAAGATCAACCCAGTAGCCAGGGGAACATCGATGATGATCTCCTTCATGGCGGGCTTCTTCTCCCCGCTGATGGCAATCAAGTAGCTCCGTCCCACCCACCCGATCCAGCCGGCGATGTAGAGGAACAGCACCCCTGGGGTCACGAACTCGCCCCAGTGCCTCTGGTCGCCGCTGACGATCAGGTGCGGGAGGCCGTCGGAGCCGCACAGTAATCCCTGCTTGCCGTAGTTGTCGAACCGGCGCTTCGTCTTCTCCATGGTGGCCTTGATCGCCAGTGCCGGGGCGCTGTCGGGGGCGTACAGCTTCAGCGACGACTCCAGCTTCTTCAGGGACTGCTTCTCCCGCTTCGTGAACTGCTTCGAGTCCTTGCACGGGGTGAGCCCGGAGATGTCGGCGGCGGCAGGGAGAGGGGCGGCGGAGAGGAGGATCGAGGAGAGGGCCAGGGCGGCGGAGAAGGCCTGGAGAGGCGATGCGGAGGCGGCAGCTGTGTTGTTGTCTTGAGAGGCAGAGCATACTACCGCCGCGGATCGAGAGAGGGGTGATGATTTGGGGAGGAGGAAGGAGGCGGAGCTGCTGCTGCTGCCGGCGGCGAGCTTGGGGTTGAGCTTCAGCATTGGGTTGGAGAGGTTGGTGGGGATTGTGAGAGACATTTCCTCTGTTTTTTTCCTTTGCACCTCTTTTGCGTTCTTCTTCACCTTCTTCTCTGCTTGTTCGACTGGAGAGGGGAGTGTGGAGAAGTGGTCTTTAGATTCTATGGTGGAAGAGATGGGAAAGTAGTGGAGGAGGGAGGAGGAAGGGGATAAGGCGGGAGCTGAGGTGGAAGGTTATGATTGGCTGGAGGAGTGGTTTTTGGCCCTAGACTTCAGATTCTTCTGCTTTCTCTGTTATCTAATCCGTTATCGGATTGGTGGCAAGGGTCAGGTGGATACAGACTGCAGGAGGATCGTGTGCCTTGCATGCACAGGCGGAGACAGAATTTGGGCGCGGGGACGGGAATTCTTTAACATATAATAGTAAAAACAAAAAATATAAAGAAATTTTAGAAATTTCATAAACCATTATATTTTAAAATACAATTTTTTTTTAAACCCAAGATAGCTTGCATTACCAAGGAAAATAGATCAAACGATTACAACTCTATATGGAGCCAAGTGCAAAAAATCAAAACCAACTACATCACTAGACAACAATATGAGAGCTTTTCGTGCCACCAAATGGGCTATTCTATTATGTTGTCTTCCAACAAGCTGTACCACCACCCCAGGATACTCCTGCCTCAACGCCCACAACTCACGGAGAATGGTCCCACCAGTAACATCAACATCACTCCCAGTATTGACTTTGTCGATAATTACCTTTGCATCTCCACGAATCAACACCAAAGTGAGGCCTTTCGCCACGCACCAATGGAAGGTTTCTCGCAAGGCTACCGACTCCACCAGAGCGGGTTCATAACTCCCTCGAAGTCACTCCCCCTTAGCCAAAACCACTGCTCCCGAGGCATCCTGAACAACCCACCTGATTGCCGCATGAGATCCTCTGCATAAAGCACCATCAAACGAACACAACATCCCATCAGGCGAAGCCACATTGCTCGACACATCATACTGATCCTGACTCCCACGAGTTCCCTGGTCCACCCTTGCTGCAGCACCCAGCCATTCGTGAATCTAATGACTAAGTTGACGATGCAATTCCACCAACTGAACTTGCATCAACTAAAAAACGACCCAATTTCGTGTTTTCCATACACGCCACAAAACTGCCATAATCTTACAGATAAACTCAGTCGAAGAAGAACTCTCGAAGAATCGACGCAGGAAAAGGACAAAATTAGTGGAATCTATCGATCCAGCCCAGTTCTCGACTCCAGCAGCCGTCCACAGAGATTGCGCAACCGGACAATGAAGGAAAAGATGCTCCATCGTCTCCTCCTCCTCCCGACAAACAGGACAACGACGCAGCACTTTGACCTCCTTCTCAAGTAATGCCTCTGTGGTTGGCAGGATACATGTGAGTATCTTCCAAAGAAAGAACTTTAACTTAGGCGAAAGATCAAGCGACTAAACCCTCTTCTACAACCCACGATCCATCCAACTAACATCCACCTTCCACTTTCCTATAGCACGATTCCGATCAACTTTCCAAGGTGTTTTATAGCTTGGATCATAACTTATCTTGAAATAGCTAGCTTTAGTGTTACAGTTAAGGACAGTCTATTTGGTTTTTTCTCAGCTAAAAATGGGGTAAGCCAGGGGGAGACAACTCCCTTATCATCCCTTCCCTCTTTACTCTAGCAATGTATGCGTTATCAACACTCATAGATCAAATTGCTTGGGATAGACAGCTCTCTTAAGTCTTATCATCCCCAATGTAAAGCTTTTGGTTTAACACATCTATGCTTTGCGGACGATCTTTTAATCTTTATGGAAGGATATGCATTTTCTTTGGGAACTGTTAGAAGGATCCTAGATAGCTTCTACACGTTATCAGGCCTTAATTGTAATAATCCTAAGAGTGAGGTTTTCTTTGGAGGAGTTGGGGATAATGAGAAGAGGCTAGCTCTATCTTGCTATGGATTCAGGGAGTGTAAGATGTCAATGAAATATCTAGGCCTCCCTTTGCAATTTAGTAGTCTTTCAAGTGCATATTGTATAGTTTTGGTAGACAGGATTACAAGGAAGGTGCGTTCTTGGAGGGCTAGTAAGCTTACTTATGCAGGGAGACTTCAATTAATCTCCTTTGTTCTATTGTCTGTGACTCGATACTGGATGCCAATCTATGTCTTGCCAAAGACAATCATTCAGAGCATCCAGAAAATTTGCTAAGACTTCCTTTGGTATGGTGAAGGTATAGGGAGGGCCAAAGTGTACCGAGAGCTGATTTTATTGCCTAAAAGAGAAGGGGGTCTTGGTCTAAGAGATCTTTATTCCTGGAACATTGCCTATGTTGCAAGGATGATTTGGATGTTGATGCTGCAAGGAGGATCTTTCTGGGTAGCGTGGATATGCAGGCACACACTGAAAGGGCACTCTATTTGGGAAATGAATGAATCACAATCTGGTTCTTGGCTATGGAGAAAACTGTTATGGCCGAGGCCATAGTTTTAGGTTTGAATGCAACAGGAAGAAAATGGTGCAGTGAGCTGGGAAGGCAAGAAATTGCAAAAATTTACTATTAAAACCATCAGACCTACGCAACCAAAGGTTGAATGGAGCAAGGCAATATGGGGGAAATTTGTGGTTCCTAAGTACAGAGTCGTAACCTGGTTTGTGCTTTTGCACAAAGTCAAGACTTGTTACCAATTAAAAGAATGGGGATACATTGATTGTGATCTCTGTCCTTTCTGCCAGCAAGCACCAGAGACCAGGGAGCAATTGTTCTGTCAATGTTCATTCTCAAAAGGATTTCTGAACAAAATTTTCTTGACTATAGTGTGGCCTACTCAATGGGATGAAATGGTATATACTCTCTGTAGATTAAAGAAGCAAAGCAACATGATTGGAGTTTTGTGGAATTGGTACGTAGTTGTAGTATGAAAGGAAAGGTGCAATAGAATTTTCCAGGAGACAAGCAGAGTGGCGGAGGAGGTTTTCTGCCAAATCAAGCAAGAAGTGCAGCTTATGTGTAGCTCTGAGTTTTAGGAGTCTCTAAATAGATCAGGATACTTTCTGTTTCTTCAGAGTTAAGAGTGATTTGTGTAACTGTTTGAGAGTGTAGTTGTAAGCTTTGTTATACTGTACTAGAAACAATACCCGCGGCTACGCCGCAGGGAGGATGTTGCAATTGCATGTTCAATTGTGTTTAGTATCTTTTAATCCTTTCGGGACATCCAATAAAAAAGTATCTTTTAAAACTATATAACGAAAACAAAAACAAAAATTGTTAAGACTTTATTATATGTAAAAGAATACTAATATTGTACGGAAAAGGATTGATAGGCACCCTAAAACTTGGGCTAATACAAAGAAGGAAGTCATACTGCCACCAAATAGAACCACTTGACATTGGTATCGTTCAACTATATATCTAACCATTTCATTTTGTTTGCATTCCATGTAGCATTGGCATCCCTTGAAAGTATTCAAGGAAGACATGGTACGGCAATAGCTGCAGAAAAGTTAGCAATATAACAGCAGCAACAACAACATATCAACGACGACACAACATATGTTTGGAACACCTTACTTTGTCTGCTCACACGACATCAGCAACAACATCATCTGCAGCTTTCAGTTTCAACTCTCTTTATAGTTGTTTGCCAAAAGATACTCGAAAGCAAATTAACATAAATAATCCAAAAATCCAAAGTCTAAACTCATGAGCTTTGCCATCCGAACAACTCTTACCATATAACATACTTCACCAAACCAACTCCGCTAGGAAATTTCTACTAAGCATGTGATGTACTTATCTCACTTATGACAGTGAAAAACATGAACATAAGTGATTTCTCTACTTGTAGTAGCTTGCTCATACTCGGTTGATGTTGTATTTTCTACAGTTGTTGCTGTGTTGCTACTGCTACTCCTGATATGTGCAGAATCTGCCGCTTGAGGAAAAGAGCGAGGTACTGGCTGCAAAGTAAATAAAAAAGAATCAATACGACCTTCCGAAGGCATTTTGGAGATAAAGGGATCGATCGAACTCGATATGTATCTGTAGTTTCAGATTGCCTTCTTTGTTGAATAAATTGACAGAGATGCATCGTGGTGGCTGTCTCAATGGCCTTCGATTGGGAGTAATTATGTGTCCTTCCTGCCTTGAGCTCGGTGAGGTCGAGCAAATAATGAGCAAGCTTCAAGAAACACATATTGGAAAGGAGCATACTTCTGAATACCATCTAAAGAAGGAAATACCAGGAGAAATGTCAGATATACGTTGATTGGGGGTTTATTTGTTAATTGGACGTTTTATGTTATGTCGGATATTTCGGGAACTATTGGGGTTAAATCGGTTAGGTTAAGTCTTTAGGTAGTTATAGGGAATTAGTCGGATTATATATATTCTGTGTTAGGCATAAGCTAGGGTTAAAGAATAAGAAAATAATTATTCCCTAACCACACACACACACTCTCTCTCTAGACGAGCCCCCTTCCTCTCCCTCTCTACCCGTCGGCCACCATCGCGGCGACCGGATTCCTCTTCCTCTCAACCTAATTCCTATTCTACCTCACCCAAATTCCCAATTCTCATACCAATCGCAATCCCTAATCGCACACCTAGATCCGTACTCTTTTAGTGGTATCAGAGCTCCGGTTACGAATATGAATTCATCACAACTCTCAACCGGGGGCGGGTGCATCTATGAAGACTTCGACCCAAAAAATCTGCAGACAGGAGTATCCGAATCGCATCAGCCTATTCTTCTCCTTGCCTGGGTTCGAGGTAGGGCACATAGACGTACAGAGAACTGCATCGAATGAGCTAAACATCACGGCGGAACGTCCAGTGGGCTCTGGCCATCGATGGTTTCGCCTTGGAAAGCAAATCGAGTTCGGAGAAGTCTACAACATCACACAATGCTCCGCTTGCTTCGAAAACGGTAGTCTTATCATTGAAGTCCCCAAAATCACCACATCGGAAGCTCTTGAATCACCACCACCTATCCACGAGGAGAAGGGAGTGCAACCGGCTGTGGAGGAGCAGTGGCGACTGTTTAAGGAGGAGTTTGAGCTAGTCGAAAACTCACCTCCACAAATTGAGCCAACACCGCCAGCCAAAGTCGCAGAAGCCCTGTAGAAAGAGGAGGAGGGGAGCTCAGTTGGTGAGACGACTTTCCCTGCAGTGGTCGGAGAAGAATTAGATCTTGCTTCCTCGGACGTTGTCTTCGACCATGAAAACGTAGTCAACTCCGAAGGAGAATGCCGGGAAAAAAGTACAGAGAAAAAGGCCACGATAGGTTGCATGGCGAACTAGCGATTTCGGAAAAAGAAGTCGGCCAGTACGGAAAGCCACGGAGCTAAGATGACGACCCACCGTGGGCTTGACGTGCCTGAGATGGGATTTGCGCCTG